TTCCTTTGTCCGAGTTCGGAGACCCCGGCCAAGCATATAAACCATACGGCTCCGGAGTTTCGGAGTCCCCAGCAGGTAGTGGTTAACATCAGCACTCATATTGGCTAGAGAGGTCAACCTTTCCCTATCTGATGTTTTGCAAATGTTGCTGAACATCAGTCTGATCCAATGTCCAATCCAATTATCGGTTGATCCCTAGTCAGATTTATCCTAAGATATTACAGATCTTACGCAAGAAGATAAATTACTATGGTGATGTTCTTCTTTAAGTTACTATACTTTTAGTACTTCAACAACCTCAACAGTAATGAAGAATATTCCAAATCAAAGGTGATTTGGGAGTCCACGAGGGCATAATACCTACCTGTTGAACCTTACCTTTGCATATTTCTCTCGCCTAAGCTCCCAACCGCTAGTTTTTTATAGCACACTCAATGCTGTCCTCAACACCCAAGCACTTAGCACTTGCATTAGTCTGATACCTTACCTTCTTTTTCTCTACCACGAGCACTTCTGTAACTCCTGTCAGCTGAGCCCAATGTTGGGAAGGAGGGTGAAAGGTTTAAATGGTAAGTATCATCCCCTTGTGGACTCCCAAATCACCTTTGATTAGGGGAAGTCCACTTCTGGGACTCCCGTACCTGTTAAACCTTACATTTGCATAGATTAGCACTGTCGGCAAAGGAGGGTTTGTGTTTGGCAGCCATAATTAAAGTATCTTTAGCAAGTATTATCATGTCCCCTTGTGTCCTCGTCACTTTGAGGGTAGGCAAATATTGTATCATGTGAATAAGAGTTTATCATTACTTGTTTCCAGATGGCTGGGTGTTAGGAACACCTATCAAAAATGCCCATGAAATTGTCACTGCTTTAGTGTCATGAGCATGGGCCATGTTTCCGGGCCGTGTAGGCCAAGCTGGTAAGAAAGAATTTATTGTCCTTACTATCCATCGGGAGATTGTGTCCCTTGATGTACCAGAGTGAGGCTGGGTTGTTTTAATGAACAGTTGGGTAGTCTCACCCCTTTAGGGACTTAGTTCAGGCTATGCACAACTTGAGGGCCCAGACCAGGCACCAGAGCTGGTCATCGTTAATAGGACAAACAGTATTTCTCTCTGGGATAACGATGCCCGATGGTTGGAAAGAAATCAACTGATTTTTTGCCAGGAACATTTTACAAAAGGGTAACCATACTCACTATACAGTTGTATGTATGCATGTGGTTCCCATCGAATATGACCCTGTCCTGAAGAAAGGGCATGAAACTCACTTTGTGTCCTGGCAGTAACTGCTGCTCCAGGAAAAACTTTAAGGTCAAGTGTAGCAAAGAAGCATTAACAAGGGGCTCAAATAGAGATTCTGTCAAAGTTAAGAGGACTGAGCCAAAGTTCCAAGAAGGGACTAAGCATTGGGATGGTGGGTGACTTATGAATATGCCTCGGTGGACATGTTTCAGAAGATTGTTACTCAAAACCCTAGACCCGTCAGAAAATCATTACTATGGAAACCGATAGGCCTTGAGTGAACCTTTCCATGAGGAAATCATGTATCTGCCCTACAGTTACTGTGGGTGGATCAATAGGCTTGTTCCTGCACCGTTTATTAACAATGTCGTAGTCGGCTATCATATGACCCGTGTTGAGGCTCTATGACTTTGGGCAGCAACGGACACAGTGTTTGCCAAAAGATATGCTACTTGGAGGGATTGCTCAACAATAACCAGCACGTCAGGTGGAGTGCTCTGGCGGTAGGGTTTTGGAGCAAGGTTGAGCCAGAGGATCTTTTCTCTGTGGCAGTAGTATTGACGGTTGAATCAACAGATTGATTGACCACTGAAACCAACGTTGACGTGGCCAGAATGGGGCAGTGAGGATGATGTTGCAATGTTGTCAACTCTATCTTTCTCAAGACCTTCGGAAGGAAAGAGATTGGTGGGAACGCAATCCGAACATGTTTGTCCAGCTTACTGAACGTGCATCTGTTGCCCAAGCATTGGGATCGGGACTCCGTGCGCAGTATACCGGTGAGTGGTTGTTGAAGGCTGAAGCAAACACGTTTATGCATGGGTGATCGAGCCTTCGGAAGATGTTCTGTACACCAATAGGGTGTAGAGTCCATTCTGATGAATGATCTTTCCTCTGGAGAGAGTATCTGCCATGAAGTTCAGTTTGCTGGCAATGTGAAGTGTTATCAATGTTGCATTGTTCATGATGCACCTATGCTGAGGTTGACTGGGTTCAACCACCATCGTAGGTGTGTTTGAATATGTTGGCCCACTGGTACAAAATGATTTAAGCTATGCAATTTCGGTCAATAGAGAGACAGAAGATGGAGTTAGATAACTCACATCCTTAATCTGCAACAAGGTACTCTGTCGACCAAACTGGCCATGAGCCCCATAAGAAGCAAACCATGGTACAACTAGAACGATTTCAGTGGAAAGGAAAATTTGGTAGAGTGCTACACACTCTATCAAATTGTTCATTCTTTGCTGTGTAGGTTTGGCTACCCCTTGTACAGGATCTAACTCTATCCCTATGTGGAATGGACGTGTGAATGTTCCAGCTGGGATTTTTCCTTAATATTTAAAGTGCTAACTCTCATGTTGAACTGGCTGCCTTTAGAGCCTTGTTCCAGGAGGAGTCTACAACGAGCAAATCATCGAGAACATTCCTTTTCGCCTGAATTGATGCAACTGTTTTTGCTACCTGGAATACCCTTGGGGCTGTTGAGAGGCCAAATGGAAGGCAACTGAAGTCTTAAGTTCTTCCGTTGAAAAAAAAAACACTTAAAGGTAGGTGTCCTGCAGGTCTACTGAGGCTTCCCACGCAGGTGCCGGTAAAGTATTGAGAACCGTATGCAGTGTTTCCATCCTGAATCTTTTTGGGCGGACAAATGTGTTTAAGGGATTTAAATTTAGAATGGAGCGCCATTGGTGTGAAGAAGAAAGATCAGTGGAATCCATGTCCGGTATCCCCAGGCTGGACACTGTAAAATGCTTGCTTCTGGAGTAGAGCTTGAATTTTGTTTTCCAGAGTGAGACGCTTCTAATTGGCCACTGGAATTTGAGTTGGGTGTGGAGCAAGTTCCAATGGTGGAGTATTTGTGAACTCCAGGGCATATCACTGCCCGATGGTGTCGAGTACCCACTAGTTCAAGTCTTTGCGAAATGCTTGAGATGGCCTCCTATTGGCCCTGGATATCAGGCAATAGTAATTGAACACTCATTTGTGCCAAGACCCTTATCTTGGGGCGAGGAGTGTACAAGGGTCAAAAGGTGCGCCTTTGAAAACCTGAGGTTGGCTCACTGGAGGGAGTGGGTTTGTCTTGAGCCTGTCTGCTAGGACTTTTGTTGAATGTTGAAGCCCAGCTACGCCCACCAAAGGGCTTACGGGGAAAATGCTTGTTATTGGTACCGGTAGGCTGTCGTTTCCTTTAATGGAAACAGGTTTCTGAAAATTTATTCCGTCAGTAGCTTCCAAGCATTTGGCCTCTGCTTCCATTGCTCTTGAAATTTGCCAACAAATAAATCTGTTCCCAAGAAGGGAAGAGACTCAAGTCATGTCCTTGTCCCCTCAGATGAAAGGAAAACGGCTAGTTCTGTTGTCTTGGGGAATACTGCAGAATCTGTTTCACATGAACAGACTAAAAATTTGGACAACAGCTGTAGAAAACAGGACACCCATAGCCCTGCAGGGGCTGCTGTGTCCACTTTCCTAAGAGTATCTTCTATTTTATTTCTTTCACAGGCCGAGAAAAGGGAACTTATTTGAAGTCGGCAGAATCAGCCGTGATTTTGTCTTTGACAGTATCTGACATCGTCGGGAATGCAAGATATCATCAAAGTCAGACTGAGGCAATGAATGGTGGCACTTTTTCATGACAGCCAAAGTTTGCATCTTGTTGACACAACGTCAATCAATAGGGAACGTCAGAAAATCTTCGTCCTGGGAGCCAGCTGGGGTCATACGTTTTTGAAAGATCAGCAGTGCTTTGGTCTGCAGCTGGTTTATCCGCTGATGGTATGTTAAGTAACCTGACCACTACCTTCATTAAAAGGTGTAACCTATGTTCACAGGTGGAAAGGGTTTGAAATGTGGATGACTCATCCTCAAAGGAAACAACAGTTGGGAGTTGGGGTACCACACCTCCTCCACAGTGTTCACATTGAGCGACCTGACCTCCATGACCCTATGGTGAAGCCACGCGATGGTCCACAGTGGATTGTCAGCATTTGATGACAACTTGTCTGAAGCGTAAACTGATACATCTGTGTCACAAGAATCGCCCGGGTTTACTTTCTGGCCCTGGTGAGTGCCGCATGACCCGGTTTCCCACTGGGTGGAGCCATCACAATGGGAATTATTCAGGTTTTCTTGGTCAGGACCGGAATCCCGAACACAAGAGTCTGGGGGGCCAGAGGGTGTCTTGTCATCCCCAGAATGGCCCTTTCTTACCAAGTATTTCTAGAAAATCGGAGGCTGGAGGCCAGGAAGGTGCAGTTCCAGACCCAGCACGGCCTGAACTCTTACTTCTCGGTTTACCAGGAGTAGAGGCCGCAGGCCTGGGAGGCGCGACCCTATTCCCTGTGCCCAGTGTGCCTTAGGCCAGAGGCCCAGAAAGCGAACTACACAAGGGAACTAAAGGCCCAGAAAGCACAATCCTGGCATGTCAGTTATTCTTACTGGAGGCCGGAGGCTTGTAAAGCACGACCCCAGCAAGTGACTTAGATGTACTCAATTTTTTCTTTGACGATCATGCAAGGAACCTAGTGAATTACTGACACCTGAATCCATAGTTGGTGACCAGGAATTAAGCCAAGTCAACACCCTGTCCCATTCATTATCTCCCCAAGTGTGACAGATTGTACAGGTATATTCAGGCATATAAGGGCGGCAATGGGGGGGCACATCATGCAGGTCTTGGCAAGCTGTAGATTTAATATGGTGACACGCACTGCACGTAATAAATTTGGGAGGAGTAACACTGTGCTTACTCTTGCGTGACTCTGCCATGTTAAACCTACAAAGAAACAACTGGTGATTTTCACATAAAGAAAAATGGCAAGATATGTCCAGAGGAATCGCATTTATTTCAACAAGTGAATGGTGAGACCACACACGCTTTGTGTGAATCAAATTATAATGGTAATATACACAATAACTAGTGATAAATTTGCAAGCCTTTGGGAGCATAAAAATGATACGTCTCACCCACAAGAGCGCTAGAGAAAAGAGGGTGAAGGTATTAGACTAATGAAAGTGCTAGGGGATAGGGCGTCGTGGGCAGCATTGACTGTGCTATAAAAACTAGCGGTTGGAGTCTTAGACGAGAGAAATAAATGTATGCAAATGTAAGGTTTTACAGGTAAGAAGTCCCAGAAGTAGACCTCCTTTTAAGTTGCTCTTGATCTTGTCACACTGCATTAAAGAATATATATGAGAGTTACTGGCCGTACTTTTTCCTTGACATCACCAGCACTTTCATGCAATGTTTCCCCTTCATATGTTGGTAGTGGCTGCTTAGCTTTAGCTAGTAGTGTAGTGGATTCCATGTGGACTGCATCTGCCTTGGTCTTGGAATCCTCAGCCAGTTGGCTAGCCTCTGCAAAAATATCTTCGGCATCACTGTAGCTGATAATTGAACAAATCAAAGGGAACTATTGTTATGTCAGTGCAAAATCGTCGTATCTCAGTTTCAAGTTGTTTTTAGAAAAAAGCATAAGTAGGTTTGCAGCCTTTAAGTACTTTTTTTCTGAATTAAATCAAAGGAAAATGGAACTTAGGTAGATAATGAATTTACAGAAACAATTATTTGACTGATCAAGCCTGTTCCATTCGGATATTTCTGAGACAAACGAGCTGTTCCTCAAACAATCATTTTACTTCTTGGTACAATAAGTGAATTCATGACATATCTTGTGTTATAGTTGTGAGGTGTTGGACAAATCCCCACCTGTCCAACTTATTAAGGTATAGGCTTATATTAGTTATTAATATGAAATTTACTGATTCCAGGCCTCCTTCACACTTTCATCAGATCCTGATAAGTCCTCTTCTAAACCTTAAGCTAGTTTTGTGCATTGTCAGTTGGATCTTTCCTCACTTGTCATGCCTGACTATATCAGTACATGCCTGTCCACGTTAAACCAGTCCACTGGCATGTTGTTAATGTGTAAATTGCTAATGTCTCTGTTTAAATGTCAGATTCATGTTGTGAAATATTTCTGCCACTACCTTTTGTACATGTTGCACCTGTTGAGTCTTTGTAAACTGGGAACATAAAACAGAGATTCGGGATGTAACTTATATCCCTGCAAATCTGACAGTCATGACAGTGATACAACCTGACAACATGTAAAAAATAAAATTCTTATAGATAAGAAAATACTTTTGAAAAGTCAGAGAATCCATCAGTGAACCTGATGTGGCAAAAACAATTGAAGAGACTTTGAGTGAAGAAAATTCTAAACTTAAACAGGAACTTCACAGGTCGTCTGAGGCTTTGCAAGAAGTTGAGCAGAAACTTGACATATTGAAAGAAGTTCTAAAGGAGCTTGAGGAGGCAAAAAAAAGCAGAAAGAAGCCTTAATTCCAGACTGGAGACATTCAAAGATAACGATGACTCAATGAAATTCTACACAGGTTTTACATATTCAATCTTCTGTGTGATTTACAACTTGTGCGACCCTGGGCCTAATGGTGAGAATATTGATCTGTACACAAGAAGCAAATGTACAATGAGTAGTGCACCCATACAAGATCTCAAAGACCATTGCTATTGTGATCCACCAGTTGCTCATCAGAAGGGTCCATCTCCAGTACTGTCTTTCATGGATCAATTCTTTTTGACATTGGTACAGTTGGGGGCAGGTTTTTCTGATTTCTTTCTGGCTCATTTGTTCATACTTTCAATTAGTACCATTTCATCCTATGTTACTACACGGGTCAACTTCATGTTTCTTAAACTTGGGAGTTCAAATATATGGCTTGACCGCGAAGTAGTAGCTAAGACAATGCCAAAAACTTTTCAAAAAATGTTCCCATCCATACGAGTCATCACTGACTGTACAGCCATAAAAACAGAGACACCTTGAACTCTTGTACGGAATAATGAAATGTTTTCCTATTACAAGAATACTTGCATTGTGAAAGGACTTACTGGAATAGCACCATGTGGTGCTGTGACTTTGTGAGCAAACTGTATACAGGCAGCATTTCAGACAGGAAAATCACAGAGGAAAGTGGCCTCCTGAGTATGAACTTTTCAGATGACGATAAAATTACGGCTGATAAAGGGTTTGTGATTGATGATCTGTTGTTGGAAAAAATTGATGCAAAAAATGGAAGGCTCAATACTCCTCCATTTTGGAAAACAAGGGGAAGTTATCTGAAGAAGTTTTAGCGACTCAGGAGATTGCTACCAAAAGAATTCATGTTGAGCGTGCCATAAATAGGATCAAAAACTTTCATGTATTTGATGATCTGATACCTCTGAGCATGACCAGATCAATCAACCAAATTTGAGCTACTTGTGCTATGGTGACAAATTTTCAAAACCCACTTTTCTCTGATCATCCCATTTGTGTAACTGATACTGTTGTCCAAGATATTTTGTGGACTTTTTATAGAAACTTTCCATTTAGCTTACTGGAGCATATCTGGCAGAATTGGAGGTTACCGCTGAAAGTATGTATCCACCAGAAGTGTTCAGGGTTTTTTAATTAAATTCCATTTTGGGAATTAGCCTCCCCATTGTGTCTACCACATCGCAAGGCTGTTAATGGGTCATCTGTCCCAAATTTGACTATCATTTTCTTCACAGTGAAAATTTCACAAAGATATATAAAAGTGACACCAAGGCAACATTTACTGGTGACCATTTATTTTATTCTTGCATGTCCTTGACAGTTATGGCCACATTAAGATGCATGCAGATTTGCATTGCTTTGACAATAATTTAGTTACGCTTCCATTTGAAATATCAAGCTTGTAATAATTTCAATATAATATACTTTATGTTTTAGCTAGCATACAAAAATGTGTATAATTTTCTCACTTTGGGTAATAAGAGGTGAAGGCCATCTCTAACATCTTACGGAATATCAAGTGATGCATTTTTGGCATTGACAATGGCTGAAATAAAGTAATCACCAACCGTGGTTCTTTTGCTCCAGTACAACGCATAATTGCACAGCCTGCACTGCACTAACTTTTGCTCAGTCCAGGCCCAGTGCAAATACATACTGCGAAAACCCCACACATGCACAGACAGTTTTGACTGTCCAGCTCTTTTTGTTTTGCCCAGACATGTCCTACCTCACCAGTACTACCTACCTATGTGAGTCTAACATTTGGCTTAACCCTGCATTGGCCTGGCCTAGGCCTAGTGCCATTCAACAGTTTCTGACTGTCAAGCTAACCACAGCTGTTTCGCTAGGGTAGGCAAAGGTAATAAGATAAACCAAACACAAAAGTTACCTAAATAACATTACTTCTGAGACAAATCTTCAAGTTCAATTGAGATACATTTATTTAATGAGCTTAGTAACAGTACACTCACCCCAAAGATTTCAGCTGCCTCCAACATTTTCCGATTCTGCATTATGCGCCTGTGCATTTACCCAAACCAAAGTGCACCCTCTATCAAACCGCCATACTTTGAAAAGGCTTATTGAAACAGGGCTAATTGAAACACAAAGGTGGAATTTCTTGGACTGTAGCGAAATAATTGCATCAGATGGTCCCTCTAAAATCTCACTGAATCAATCACCGACATATGGCCAGGAAAAAAGAACATAAACACAAACTTAATCTGGTTTTGCAATCCAAGCACAATGTACGTACACTGGTACTTATGCATGATTTTACACGTACATCGCTACAGGCACTGTATGTTGTGAGTGTGCAGATACGGTACAGGTCAGAATTTCAGCCGACACGCAACATGCTTAGCGTGTTAGCATGTATCGAGTCAAACAGACATGAAAGGAGTTAACTGCAAACACGAAACACGCTGACCCCTGCATAACAGAGAACACCGACACTGCAATCCGATCTTCCGAGTATAAACATGCACATGCTACATGCAAGCCCCAGAACAGCCAGGTTTTTGTTGACCGGAGCAGTCATTTTCCTAGTTTCCCACAACGAAAAGTATTCAGTTTGACTGCAGCTCAAGTTATCTTCAAATTCCACGGAAATGATGTCAGTAGTTTACCTTGTATGTAGCAGGCATCACAAAATCATTTTTGAAGATAAAGTGTTTTGTCTGTCCTACAGGATCAATGAAAGTGCCATGCAGGCAACACTTTATGTCTGAATTGCTCCCAAAATGTCTGAATTAGGCACAGAAAATATTCGAGCGTGAAATCAATTTTTCAACAGAGATAATTATAACGAGCAGTTTTTATGACAAAACATTTCCTAAATGAGAGAAAACTAGTTTGTAAGAAATCCACAGAGTATAAACAGGGTTTGACCTCGCTGGTCCACCAGCCAAATTTTAGTCAACACGGCCCCCACGGCGGTGATCCTAGCATACACACTCGAGCTCAGTGTGTTCAAAATTGCGTGGATATAAATTTGATGTAAGGTGGGGATTTTTCCCTTCAGTTTTCATCCTTTCGTTTGTGCATTCAACTGATTTGCCATAGAGCGAAACCATACTTACAAGAAATAAGATTACAAAATCCCAACTAGCAATTCCTTTCATTCGAAACAATTGGAAAAAACATGGCCCAAGGTTAGACCTACAGTATACATGCTATGGACCTTTTGTATGTGACTGGTTGATGTCGGGACACATTCCACAATTTTTATCGGGCCTTGGTGCCTGTCATATTGGCCCTCTAAAGTTTTGCATCACCAAAGGCCAAAGCGGCTTTGCACTAAAAGTAAAGAAATTCAAGGCCTTTGCTCACAGTACCCACAAAGAGCCTATACTTACTCTGCTTCAACTTTTCCGATCTCATCTTCAATGCTAGAGTCTACTCCTGTGCCTTGGACCAGCCTTAGGGCTTCTTCAGATGTTGCCTTAGCTTCCCTGGCAGTGCCATCTATTTCCCCTCCAAGCTGTACCTGACTGCAGTAGTATGAGAAATAATCAGTGTCATCAAAAGGGTCAACATTATTATTATTTAATTCTGATAATGACACTAAGGATTTCTCAAAAAGTGCCCTAGGCATTTCAGCTCGCAAGCCTGAAGAATCACATGATTATAAGGACCATCGCAAGACCGACAAATGAGAAAAAAGTCCATTTTCAAGATTTCTAAGTCACCTACACACACAGCTTTGTTCATACACAAAAGCACACAGTTTGGCAACTTTAGTTTTTAGTTTTCTTTTCTTTTTTTTTTTTAAAGAAAAGATTTAAGGCCAGCATGGTAGGATTGAGTGGATAACACAGAGGTATATCTGCAAGGTTTGAACCCATCGGAGATGCGCTTCACGAGACATAGTGCTTTGTAGAAAGCATCTTTAATGTCACGTAACATGATCATCTGATGATGTCATCTTCACATGACGTCAATTTTCATCTATAACACTTCCCTTTCTAAACACATGCCAAGTTTCAACCCAGTCGGACATGCACTTCAGGAGATATAGTACTTTAAAGGGTGAACCTTGAATGTAACATGACTCATCTGCTGATGACATTGTCATCACATCAGGTCAATCTCCATTTGTAAACCTTCCCTTCCTCGAGCGTGAGGGTGCAAGAGGCCATCAGTTTAAAATCGGATTGCTCCAAGGTTGCACATGTTTTGTGTTCACTCCGGTTGTGCTCACACTGTTTCCATGATCCTGCTAAAGTGGTTGGCTTGTCGCGACTTTTAAATGGAAACACTCAGGAAAGGCTTCGAGGATGAGGTCAATGGTTCATTTTCCGACGGTGGAGGTAGAGTTGGTGCAAGAGGGAAGCTTTATTTAAATCCAGAGACAGCAGGTAGGTGATATCCAAACCTTATTTTGGTCTTTGAATTCAAACGCCCAGGGAGCAAGGCATTTAGACCATGGTTAGATCTCCTTCCATTTCCTTGGGCGTTTCAGTTTTTAAAAGAGACTATTCTTCAGGTTTCATTCATTTGTTTCACAATTTGCCGTTTGCGAGGGGAACGGCTGCCAAGATTGGTGGGCGTGGCGATGTCAGCGGCCCAACAAATAAAACTTTATATTTCGGTGAATAGCGACTGTGTCTGTCCATGTGCATGTACAGTGGAACACCGCTATACAGAACATTCGGCTATACTGAACATCGTCCTTGGCTCCCAATATTTTGTGCACAAAACCTACCAAACACTATGTAGTTGCAAATCAACCGAGATTCGCCGCAGCATGCATCAGAGATCAATCCTGAGCAGTTGCTTCACGACTGTTAGGATAAACTAACTATCAATTTTGTAACTCAAAATTTAATAAAAAACAAAAATAATTAACAAATACATTTCTAGAAACATCAATGAACCTCTAGAAACGTGAATGCAACAGCAAAACATGAAAACAGTGAATCATAGTATCACAAGAGGGTGCACTTCAGTTAGACAAAAGAGGGTGCTATTCAACATGGCAATGAAATATTCGGCAGTCAATTTCGCAAAACCGAACGCACGCTGTGCCGAATATTTAGTGTGGACCTTGTCGTGTTCATCATAGCGGCGTTCAACTGGGTAGTTGAGCGGAGGACCATCAGGTTGGAGCGGACTCGGACGCGTGCTGAGTTCTGGCTAGAGACTAATTAGAAGCTAGAGATCCAATTAGAAAATTGGTCCGGAAGATTCCAGTTATGCTTAGTCAAACAAGTCATGGCTGATGTCTTCCTCCAGCGAAGTGGCCAACAGCAGGCCGAGCAGTTGAATCATGTCTCGCTGAAGAAGACAGAAGTGGCAATCGGACAGAGTGAGGGTGCTGATGGAATCAACTTCATCCTTTTTGGAAGACAATGCTAGTTGCCCAGTCGGGGGCAGGGCAGTGCCTCGTTCCGAGCCATGCGCAGCATCGTGGGGAGCGGCCTGCTCCCGAGGGAGTACACCCGGCTGGTGCAATTCTGGTGTGGAACCCTGCCCGATGTAACCATGGCTCGCAGCCAGAGAGGGCGAAAGGGCCTGGTCCACCAGAAACGAGTCCGGGGCGGTGGAGACTGATGGCGGTCTAACACCAAGGCAGTGAGCGATTGAGGTTGGAACTTCATTGATGGACTGGAAAGCAAACATTCAAGCCGAAGAGGTGTGTTCGTGGTGGTCGAGGAATTTGATGAAGATGAGAAGCGCTTGCCTTTTCCGGTGAAACTCCTAGGGTGCATTCCCAGTCGAGGTCAACGGGAACTGCAGAATTCCGGGCAGAAGGACCAGGAGAAATGAGGTCCAATGACCCGGTGATGCCAATTAAAAGCCCGAGCCGCGGTGTGCTTAAAGCACCCAGTGGTGGGCAGCCCGGCAGCGGAGGTGGCAGCCAGGGCCGCGGAATGCCCGAGGTCAACGGGGGCTGCAGAATTCCAGGCAGAGGGACCAGGATAAATGAGGTCCGATGACCCGGTGATATCCAGTTGAAAGCCGGAGTGGCAGATGGGCTAAGGTGGCTTGAAGACCTGGAGGTGTAAAAACCCCATTAAGCTAAGCAGGATCCAAAAGGGGGTTAGCGGGAGTCGGGTGTCATGGCTCAACGGCGCACCAGGTGGGGTGGGCCATGGCACTTGCGGGGAGCCTGGCCCGGTGACTTTGGTATATGGGCGAGTGGGAGTGTGCCTGGGGGGCTAACAGAGAAGTAGTGTTCTAGGCTGATGTAGGCCGACGTCGAACGGTGGGTGGTACTCTTTGGTGTCACTGGTAAGGTAGACACAGCGTAGCTGGAACGAGCCTTGTAGTATCGACGGTAAACACCAGCATGGTGCACATACAAGAAAACCGAAGAAAGAGCACAAAAACATACACGAAAAGAACACTATTACCAATAAATGAATAAAACAAATGAAGGAAAGCACAGTGGTTTAAAACCCAGACATTTCAAAAAATTTTCCCCTTGATATTATGCTTTTAATCAGTTCACTAGTATCTAATGAGATAACGTTCACCAAGGAAAAATTTATTTAATAATTTTACTGTATATTCCACTGAAGTACGCACCTTAGCTTTTTGAAGAAAGGTAAACTTGTCATAGTTGAAAAAAATGGCAACAAAAACCCTGCTTGTCAAAACCAAAATTATATCTTCAGATAGAAACCTTTGCATTATTTTGTAGCTTGTAAAACACTCTTTCAGCTGATATAAATTTGCTTTCAAAAAAATTGAATAGAGTACAGAAATTTGCATACATTTTTTACAATAAACTATGAAAAGTACCAAACAAGAAAAATATACACTGACAAATGGTTTTTGATGCATTTTTACAATCGGCCATAAACCGCCAGGGCAGAAATGTCTAGTTTATTCATAATTTGATTGACTGATTAATTGGCTACAAATAAAATCCAGTGGAAAAGTCGCGCAATTCGTCATAGTGCCGCAGGATTTGACGTTATTTCGAGCACAATAAACAGCGACCTCTATTGTTGAGACATGTTGGGTATACTGCAGGTGATTGCTGCCGATTAAGTTGGGCCTATTGGCGCTCAGTTTCATCGCATTCGCTCAAATGCCATCAATTTCGTTGTAATTTTGTTGACTTTGTGTGTGAAGTTTAGTTGTAATTTGAGGGTTACAACACAACTTAAGTGGAATTTAAACTGAAAAGCAGTTGAAAGAACTGTAGCTTTTTGTCAGGGGTGATGTCGACTGTCGATCCCAACGAATGCTGGAGGATGAAGAAATATTTTGTTTGCACCAGTTGTCATGTAAATCAGCCAAACGATGACATTTCTACCTGCTGGGGCTTATCTCGGACTCAGTGTTTTGTCATGGCCTGGGATATCGGATAAGAGTGTTTTTCAAACCACCTAGCGATTGGCCAAATAAGTAATCTGATTTGGACCTCAGCTCTTATATTGCAAAATGTTTCAACACATTTTGTGGGGTTTTATTTCTATGGAAATTTTCTGAGAAATGCATATTACTGAAAAGACCCTACGGGGGCTTTTGGCAGATAAAAATCATGACAGGACATGGAGGCATAACAGGTACCTCCATGGGCAGAAATGTGGTTAATTTCAACTTAAACTGGAAGATAATTGAAAAAAACTTGAAAGGAAAACCTTGGGTTTAACAAAAGAGGCCAATTTTGTTGAGATCACGAGCAAAATACATACATAATTCCACACCCTGACCTCGCAGGTTCAGAATGCACTGAGGGAACAGTCACCCAATAAATATTACTTCTTCAGGAATAATTGAAAAACATGATTGAATGGGAAAGAGAGTCACTTGGAAAGGTAACTCCTTAACTTGTTAAGATTACTTCATATTTCCAATCACTAAAATGTTTAACGAAAGAGGGACCGAGACGAAGTGAGGAACTTACTGTATTGATATGATACCTCTCAAATAAGTTGTCATTTTATTTTAAAAATGCAATAAATTCAAAGAACGTTATATTAGTGAAAGTGAAATGAAGTCACAGGATTTCTTTTCGTCATTTCCCCCTTCCTTTCCTGTTATGTTGCAATGATATACAAATGCATAATGATCTCACTTCCAAACTGAGGTGATCATCTCTTAAAAATGATGACAGATTTTTTCCCAAACCGCTGTAGCCAAGGGGCGCGTGCATGTTCTCTCCGGAATTTTTAATAATTGTCCATAGAGGGTGCCTTCATTCACGAAGATCAATAATAATGCACTTTTGCCACTGCAAGCATTGCAAAAAAGTCTTCCTGTAGCCAACTTGAAAACCCATCAGGACTCTAAATAAGTTCTGAAGACTTGTTAAATTGTTTTAATCGATGTGAGTGAAAATAATCTGATAGTATTCACAGATGTCTGGGTCAGGTAGGGTTTAAACCACTGTGGAAAGGTGATCAAATCGACACAGAACCAAGGAGCAAAATCGGAAGCTTGATAAATCGAAGATGCCTCGAAAGACACGTCCGTTACGTTGCTGAAAAAAAAAGAACGATCATGGTGGCGAGGCAGCGCTGCATTGTGGGAGGTCAGAGTGCACCACGGGTGATCAAATCTTTTCAGCGAATCACCAATACGTGCATGGGAAATCTGCACATGTAGTAACTGTTCTGTAGATACAGCGCCATAGACTTAAATATTCAAAAATCAATACAAAATAAGGTGATGACGTCATCAAGACATCATAAATTTGGCATTATTTTTGCATCAGGGTCTTTGCCGGCTGTAACTTTGATGATGATTGAATATCGCCAAGTATCCAAAATCGTGCCTCAAACACGTGTACAAAGTCAATGGGCTGAAATAAATATTGAAAAATCAATAATAAATCACTTGATGACATCATCATGAGGTCATTGTTCTTGGACCATCTATGCATAAGGGTTCTTCATTGGCACAAGTTTGATGAAGATCCAAAGCTGCTAAAGTACTCAAGTCGTGGCGACAAAAACGTGTACAAAACAAATGGGCTTTGGAGGAGGAGGAGGAGAACTTGATCACAAAAAAGCCAAAAAATGAGGAAAAAAAAAACTTAATGAAAGCAGCAGCTGCTTCGGCAGTGAAGCCCAAGCAGCTCATTAGTGTGGTAGGAACGCCTTACCAGGTTTCGCCAATTTCTGAATAAATTTGAACAAGAACACTCCTCATATTTTAGCCTCAACCCACTCCCATCCCCAGGAATTTTCCATTCCTTTGTCGACATACTTTCCTTCTTTTTGATAAATGATGTCTTTACAGGGAGACATGATGATGGAAATGTAACGATAAGAAACCTCTGTTCAACAACACACACCAAGGTCTGGTTTTCTGCGATTACACACAAAAAGTATTCAGGGTGTCAAGGAAATGAGCACATTTCCTACAGAGATGGTGTTTGGTCAGCACTCATTCTTGTCTGCTAAAAGAGCCAATGGAATGTATTGTTTTATCTTATCTCCAAATTCTAGCCTGGTTTCAGATCTGTGTGAGCACATTCAGGGGTCCAAATTAACTTCAATCTCTTGGTGGCCCGCAGGGCCAGTGGGGAGTTGCAGCGCATTGATCCCTGTGAAAATTCGATGGTCCTGGTTGAGTACATGTAATGAAATTGATCAGGCTCACCATACATGCCCATTTGCATCAGTGGAATTTCTCTATGAAAACAGCCTTTTTAAGGCCAAAAAACTAGTTCTGCTTGTGGTTACATGACTGATCCTAGTTTTGGCATGACCATAAAATATATATCAGTGAGTTAGAAATACACATTTAAAAATTTAAAAAAAAAGGAAAAAAATAAAATCCTCTGTCTTTCCTGTCTTCACAAAACACCTCTCAACAATTTTTTCACATCTAAAAACTTGTGTTTTTGTTTGCCTGCTTATATTTGCCATATTTGGAAAGAAAGTTGTGTTATTTTCACAAGTTCCCTTCGCATTTTGCCATCGCAGTGGTGAAAACAAGCATGCAATATTGCTAGATGCAGAGAAGCAAGGCTTCACTGGTTCCCACTTGCTGCGCTACTGCCAAAGATGGCGCAATGGTAACGCGGCAGCTAGTACATGCATCCCGGTCAAAATAGTGTTGTACAATTCACCTTACACACTCTACAGCTGCAACGCTACAACTGCACATCCCCCAAAAAAGATGACGCAGGAAGATTTCTACAAATTAACTCCTAGAACTTGATCTGTTATCTATATACGAAATGTATTTTTTGGTTTACAAATTTAAGTCGAGGTTACATTGCTCATACATTACGATCAGACTCAATGTGACACAACCTATAAAGGTTTCATTAGTGTCCGTGAGAAATGTTTTAACTGGCAATGTTAGAAAATGATACCAGTCAACATACCACGGCAGACGCCTGCCACACATGTATGAGCTGTATGCACAACCATTCAGTGAACAGAATGTCGTGCTGCTATGTGTGCATGTGGCACACAAGCCTGGCTGCGCAGACTGTGTATTTATACTGTGAACTCCAAAGTGCTACATCAGTGATTTGAAACACAAGTCATAAAATGTGATGGAAGTTTTGAAAATGTGGCAATGTTCCTCAAATGACCCTGTCCCACCAGACCATCCTTTGGGGAGAATGCAGTGGCCCAATAAATTTTCTGGTGGCTCCGGGCCAGCAGACCACTGTTAATTTCGACCCCTCACGTTGACCGTGTGTGCCTAAACTATACATGAACAAACAGCATGCATGGCAAGGCATAGTGCCCTTTATGGTCAATGATTCTGATGCACTTAGGACTAAATTAAAATGATGTGATACACGGAAAGTAAGCAGAAATGGAATTTTATTTTATTCCACAACAAACTGAGGCTCAATACAAATCATATCTGATACCTGGAAGTCGAAAATCATCTTAATGAAATGGGTCAGAAAAGTTTAAAATATTGGAGTTTCTACCCCCCAAAAGCGGAACTTATTTGCAAAAGTGGATTTTCAAAGTCCCAAAAGTGGAAATCCACCAAAAAGCGGAACAAACTCATCCCTGTATATATGATGTGTCGCTAACATACACAGCCTGCCACATGACCAGCCACACAGCCAGCCAGTCAATCAAACAGTCAGTCAATTCACTCACAATATTGCTGTATCTTACCCTGCAGCTAGATCCCTGGCTTGTTTAGCTAGATCTTGCATCTCAAGAGCTTGCTCAGACATGTTCTTTGCTGTGTCGTTCAATTCCATCAATGTCTTCCATCCAAAATTGTCCAGGTAAGCCTGGGCCTCTGCAAGGGCTTTCTTAGCCCTGTCAATCATGACAAAGGCTTGTGCAACCTCTACAGATTTGTGATATGAATGAGAAGCTAATTTAAAAAGTTTAAAGGTCGTAGACTTAATTGAAAGAACAAGTTAATCTAAGCAACAACATTCGAAAACCCCCAAAACACATAAAATCTTATATATAACATAAGATTATGGGCATCTTAAGCATAGCACAGACAACACTGATTTTTTTCATAGCTGACTTTTTCCAGCATATTGCCAGTACAATAAAATCATCCATAAATTGTGCATAATTAAAAAACTCCTCAATACAAATGCATAAATAAAGTTGCTTAAAAGATAGCTTTCACCAACTGCAAGCCAACACACATTTTGTTTCTTCCGTAACCCCATTTACATGTTAAAGCCTGCAAATAATTCTGATTTCCTTGAAATCAGTTACCATTTAGAGCCTAAAGATGGTACTGTGAACCACATGGAAACTGGCTGTTAACATGACTCACTGTGGAAACGTGGGATTGGGATTCTTTAGGTATCAAACTTGGGCAGTTATCAAAAGTATCATCATCAATATGAATGGCTTTCTCAATTCTCAAGTCAACTGTTCGGTACATGTATACCTCATAAACAAAACTTCAATTTTTATGTTCCAGGACACACAGAGGTACAACTGAAAGCAAATGCAGACATGACCATGTACATGGCTGTTCTGGAGTCTGGGAACATGTGCACTGTTCTCAAAACACTGGTTCCATTTAATGTTTTTGGAATCCTTGTGAGATTCAGAACACATATTGCAGCAAAATGAGGTTAGGTTTTTCCTCAGCTGACAGATATCAACGAAATCTTTGGAGAAAACAAACAAAATGTTCTCAATTTTCTTGGAGAGGGAGATGCTGATATAAAACAATTTTGCTGACATCCAGATATTCCATAGTTTTTCAAAAAGTGATTCCGTTATTTTGATACCATATCATATAATGATAAAATCATAATATCACTATATAGCACTGTCAATGAATAATGTATGTTTAAAGCCAGTTTGACTGCCCAACCTGAATTTTTCATGTGATTAACGTGGGTAAGTGCGCTTACCTTCAGCACTGTCAACAGAATCAGCCTCAGCCATGTTAATGTTCTTTAGGATTTGACTTATCTGTTCCTTTAGGGCTGTTATGCTATCCTGAAGGTCTCCCAACTGATTGGAAAGCTGAGAATCCATGGCTGTAGGAGAAAGTCAAATTATCATTTTTTCTAATAGAAGTAGAATTTTTTGGAAAGGTATTTTTGGAAACTATATTAACTATATAAACCGAAACTAAATGATTTCAAACTGGCCCATAGTAATGGAAACAGTGTGTGTTTGCAGTGTAAAGGAATTTCTGGTACATGTATATCATTCTAAGCATGCTTTCATTTGAAATATCGGTCTTTGAGGACCAAGCCAAGTTGTCCCTGGTCTCTCACCTGCAGCCTCTTCAGCATCTATCATTGTGTTATCAAGGTCTTCTTCAAGCTCAGCCAGCCTCTTCTCAAACTCTGCATCATTAACAATCTCTGGATTATTGCCCACATTGTTGATTAGGTCCTCTAGCTGCTGCAGCTTGTCCCGATGAGCACTAACACGGTCCTGGACTAAGTCATAGCAGGCTGGGCAAGCTAAGGGTTGAGTGGAAAATAAAAAGATGAACTGAAAAACCCAAGGGTCATAAGACTACACAGGTTATAGCAGTTTCATAGTACTCCGCTAGTTTCCCAGTTGTCTTTCACTCATTCATTTTTCCCCTGTCCTTAGCCAGTCTGGATCAAGATTCAGATTGATTCTATTGAACATACCTCCAGCAAGATGTTCTAAAAATCCAAGTGAACTGTTAATCATTTTTCTATATCAATATTATAAGGCAGTAGTGCAACTGCCACAAGGCACACACAAAACAGATGCCTGCATTTAAACCAAGACACAGACCTCCTGAAAGTAAAAATAACATGGCATCTTTTGAATGTAAAAAGCAGCAGTTACAGCCACAGCAGACAGCAGATAATTCCTTAGTAGAGCAGAGTGTATTCACCACACTTTCCATGGTTATTGCATTTTGAACCCATCTCCAAAACATATTCCCATAGTGTACTTTGTTAGGCAGTTAGTACAGTGGGGGAAAATGATATGTAAAGTAGGGCTGGTAACCAGGGTATGGAAAAGCTCAGGCAATGTGGTCAAACCATGGTGTGACCTTTATTGCAAAGAAAACATTGCTTACGTATACATCCAAGGGCAATATTGTAGTGGTTCTCCCTGCAGTTGTCACATTTCTCCCCAATTACGCCAGCTTTGCAGACACATATACCATCACTGCTGCAGTTTAGCTGAGCTGATCCCTGGCGATCACAATTGCAAGCTAGGAAATACAACAAATGGGACAAAATCTCAAATATTTTCTAGGACTTTGTATGTACATGTACACGCAAACAAGCTGGTAAGATTTCCACCCCATGGTCAACAGTCCCTAAAATACCACTACCTTTTGCATGTGGGTTTCAAAACAGAATGTTGGGCTTTATTGCTTTTTCATGTTTCAAGATTTTTTCATGTTAAATTTATACGTCAAGTTTGCATATTTTTCCAATAAAATATACTCCAGAGCTACAAATCAGCAAATAATCCACAACTGAAGTATCAAAATCAGTTTTATCAATTAAAAAACCTTGCAGCTTCTTTTTTGAGTGAAAAAGAAAAACACACACGCAACAACCCGAAATCGAATCAAGGTAGCCAAGTCTGCAATCTGCATCTGAAGTTACTATTGGACCACTCGCCGACTTGGTTTCAGTTGAGTTTGCTAGTCCAGCTCCAAAAGGCATGACAATGTTGGAATAAAAACTACCTGCTCTCAATGTACATGAACACAATGTACATACACACTTGGTTTCATTGCCATGAGCTCACTGGTACAATGCAAACTCAGGTCAGGTCATGCACACAACAAGACAAGCATAAAGCCTATGGGTCTGTGGGTTAAGTGTTCTGGAACTTTGATGTACAAGTGACAGATCGCCATTAGGGTAATTTTTTTCCATTATCAGCAGGTCATGTATGAACAATAAGACAAGCTCAATGCCTTGGACAATGATTTGATGGACAATTCAAGATTACGTCTGTCAGTATTTTCAGCCAGTTATTCACAGTCTCTTTCCCTTGTGCAGCACTGTACCTTGCACGTGGTTGCTGCCTGGTCTTCACCACTTTAGCCTTGAATTTTCAATTCCTAACCATTGAGTCTGACCGGGCGTGGCCTGCTCGACGTGTATTTTTTTTGCGTAATGTTCTTTATCCTTCGCAGTTGGTTAGCTTTGGACAATGGCTTTTTGCCTAACCACTGTGACTAACAGGACTGATCCCTTTCCACAGGGTGTGGCATCCACTGGTTGTTCTACGGATTTGGTACAGCGGGATGAACCCACAGCCCTGTCCCTATGCAGGATGCTTCTCAATTAACAGGAACAGGGCAGAAGCGCAAATCTCCCAGCCACTCTTCATCTTTCGTCCAGTATTTCTAGAAGAAAAAAAGTCCAGAAATCATCAGGATCTCCGTCTACCAAAGATACACTGTGAGCTCTGACGAAGTGTTATGCTCATCCTACGGCCGCTACACAGCCAGATCTGGATCCTTATTTCCCATCCCCGGCCCGTTTTGTGTCTCATGCGAGGCAACAGGATCTTCCTTTGTCCCTTCTCAGCCGGCGTCCATTGAGGTCCATTCCCCTGATCTCTCTACTGGTCCTCACCCACCATTGCTTGTCTCTGATTCGGGTCAGTTGCAGGATGAGGAAGAGCCTGTTTCAGTAAACGATCTCTCTCCTTTGGTGTCCCGCGTTCGCCTAATCCGACTTGAAATGATTCAGGTCTTGGGACTTCCGTCTCCTGCTCCTCCAACGGAAGATCAGAGTCGCCCCTCGTTCAAGCGTCACACACCAAGGTCATCTTTCTCCTCTCGTCCTGTCTTTTCTGAGCTTCCTCTGGACTGCACATGCATGGAAGCCAAGGATAAGCTCGCGAAGGCCAAGGCATGGTATTGAGGCAACCCTTCTCGCTTGTACTTCAACTTTCCACTGGGTGATTATGACACTTACTTATCGGTACCCGATCCACCTGAGGCTGTTAAGGATAAGGTGTACCCGACTGGGTGCAAATCCAGTAATGTCTTCAGTGACAAGACTGCAACATTTTGAGGTAGTGCTCCGGGATATCGACCATGGTTCCCAGATTGGCATTTGCTGTATGGCTTTTCTACTTCTCCTGACCGAGTTTCTGTCCTGAGGTATGTGAGGAAGGCTCGGATATCTTTCCTGAGTTTGTCACTATGGCGTTCCATAGCCTTAAAGATACTCTGATAACGGGCTTGGAACAGTTCATGCGGGTTTCTCTTCGAGCCGCTGCGGCCTGCCGTGAGTCTTCCATCGACACTATGAATATTCTGCATGAATCAGTGAAATCAGCTCTTTGAAGACTCCCTCTACTGGCTAAGGATCTTTTCGCAGACCAGTATGTTAGCCTTCTGGAGAGTGAGGTTAAGCATCTTGACAGCGCCCAGAAGATATCCTTCTGCCAGCCAACTGAACCTCGATATGGTGTGGTACAAATGACGTCCTAGAGACCACCCCGTCCAGTCTAACACCACCGGCAGCCACAGACTATACAACATCGCTAGCCTCTTTCTTAAGGTGGGGGACTACCACGCTCGATTCTTTTCAGTGCTCCAAGACCTCATGGTATGAGGTATGACCAAGTGCCCCCAGTGAAACGCGTGGGGCCGGTGCCGGTGACTCCGTTTCTCCCGTAGCCCCCGATCTCAAACCCATTGGCAGCCACCTGCTCGACTTCGCAGGGTTCTGGGGACGAATGGGTGCTCACTTCACTTACCAACAACTATCGTCTGGAATTTACGAGTCCCCCTCCGTCAAATGTATCTTTCCGGCCGACAACAGTTCCAAAAGATCGATCCCAGCGACAGGCTCTGGAGTCAGAGATCTTGGCGCTGCTGCAGAAGCACACCATTGTTCTAAAGCAACCACGGGAAAATTGGCAGAGCCTCATGTCAACGTTCTTTCCGACCCCAAAGAAGGAACTGGGGAAGTGGAGGCTGATTCTGAAGTTAAAGCCTTTCAACGTTGAAATAAGACTGAAAAAGTTCAGAATGAAGATGCTGTGTACCGTCCTACGATCACTTCCATTTCAGATGTGCTCATATTTCAGTACCTCGACGACTGGTTGAGAGTCGGACGTTCCGAAGTCGAGGCTGCTTTGGGGACCAAAACAACATACGACCTTACATCTCACCTGGGTTTCTTAATCAACCACAAGAAGTCCAGACTGACCCTGTCATAAACACCAACTTTCTTTGGGGCAGTTCTTGACTTGAACCGTGGCATTGTTACTCTTACCAACGAGCGCGTGGACAATTTCATGTGGTGCATCGCTCTATTCAGGGGACAACACCAAGCAAACGCTCGGGCATGGCTCCACTTAGTCTGTCTGATGGCCAGCCTTATCGACCTCGTCCCATGGTGCTGGCTTTACATGCAGCCTCTACAGCTCCACCTTCTATCTTACTTCAGGCCGAGCAGAAATTCCCTGAATTGACAAGTTCCTCTATCAAGCCAGATTTCCTGTCACCTGTCATGGTGGTCAGCCATGGCCAACCTCAATGCCAGTTTTCCCTTCGTTCCACCTCAACACGAGATAGTTATCACCACCGATGCTTCCAATCTCGGCTGGGGTGCCAGTCTCCAGTCGTATCAGATTTCCGGCCGGTGAGACTCATCCCTAGTGGGTTCCCACATCAATGTTCTCAAACTTCAGGTGATTTTCAAAGCCCTCAGCCACTTCCGTCCTATGGTTACAGGCAAAACGAACTTGGTTCAGTCAGACAACGCGACAGTTCAGTCAAACAACAGGACGGCTGTTGCCTACATCAATTGTCAGGGAGGCGCACATTCTCCTACTCTCTGTGTCCTCGCCTGGTGCCTATTATGCTGGACCATGCTGCATTCCATTCTGGTTCGAGCAGAAACATTCCAGGTGTACAGAACGTCCTTGCCGATGCCCTCTCCCAGGGCACAGTTCGCCCGACAGAGTGGACCCTACAACCGGATATCGTTCAAGCTCTTTTTCGGATCGTACCTGAACACTCAGCTGCCGACATTTTGCAGCCGCTATCCACATCCCCAGGCATGGGCGTTCAATGCCGTACACATTTCTTGGGAGGGTCTTCTCGCTTATTCTTTCCCTCTGATATCACTCATTCCATTGGTACTGACAAAGATCGAACAATGCAATTGCTGCATCCTTCTCATTGCCCCGTTCTGGCTGAGACAAGAGTGGTTCCCCCGGTTAGTCAGGCTTCTGGTTGATGTTCCCCTCCTTCTGCCTCTATGTTCAGATTTACAGTTTTAACCCAGGTCTCATCTACTGCATCTGGACCCCACTCACGTACACTTAACATGTTGGACATTGTCAAGCGATCAAGCAGAAAGGCCTTTCTCAAGAGGCTGCCACCTTGGCTGCCAAGGGTTGACGAGAGTTCACAAAAAAGATTTACAACAGCCGACTACGACATTTTAACTCAAGGTGCAAAGGATTTTCGCTGGATCCGACCATTGCACCCCTTTCAGTCAGGATCAATTTTTTGTTCATCTTTTCCACTATGGCCTCCTTGTCTCCACAATTTGAAATTACCACTCGCTGATCGAGGCGGTGCACAGTGGCTTTGCTGATGGCTCTCTGATATCTAACAACACAGCAATCCACCATCTTTTACTGGGAATGTTTATTGAACGGTCTCCCCTGAAGCGTCTTTCCTGCATGGTGTCTCAGTGATGTCCTCCAATGTCTGTCTCAACCGTCCTTCCCTTCCCCTGATTTCTTCGTTCTGGCGATCTAGTCCATGGCGTCATCATCATCGGATAAACTTTGGTGTCCTGTCCACATGCTGAAATGGTACCTTGATAGGACAAAGGACATTCGAGGGCCAATTACACAACTATTCATCACTTCTACCTGACCTCAACGTCCAGCCTCCAGCTATACAATTGCAAGGTGGGTCGTTTTGGTTATAAAAGTATAAGGCATATTCATGCCCATGATGTCAGTGCCATTTCATCCTCATTGGCCTATTTCAAAGTTTGTTCGACACTAGTAAAGCTGCTTGTTGTAAAATCCCCTTCCATATTCACCTCCTGTTATCTCAGTGATGTTTTGCAGGGGAAACATTCACATGAACTGGCTGTGCTCCAGGCGGCATCACAGTAGCACAACTGATGGCTGTCCTTTGCTTGTTCAAGAAGAGACAATTGCAAGTTTGTCATGTTGAGTTAGTCTGTGCTCTCCTCTTAATGATAT